TAGATAAACAACAACGATATTGTTTATCATGACCAGATGATTTTGATTGTTGTTAGCTCTGTCAATTATCATGATTCTCGTTTTTATCTCTGTTTATTTTAAGGCCCATCGTTAAGCTTACGTCTTCTATCCGTTGTAGCAGGTGAATCAATTCAGCTTCAGAACTAGCGAGGATAGTAGTATTATCTGCATATCTAAAGTTGTAAATCTTCTTCCCGCCAATGGTGATGCCACCGTTCCAGTCCTCAGTAGCTTTCCGCATTATCCATTCACCATAGATGTTAAATAGAATTGGGCTTAGTATGCAGCTTTGTCTCACGCCCTTTGTGACCCTGAAACTATCGGTTAGTTCCCCATTTATTTTAACTCTGGCATAATTGTTATTGTACAGGCTTTTAATTAGCAGTATCAGATGACTGGGGACTCCCATTTCAGACAAAACCTGCCAAATTTTAGTCCAATTGACCAAATCAAAAGCTTTACTATAATCTATGAAGCACAAATATGTTGTAATGTTGAATTCTCTGGATTTTTCTACAATCTGCCGTACGTTTAAAATTTGTCCTCTAGTACCACGTCCGGGGACGAAACCTGCTTGTTCTTCCGCAATGTTAGGTAGTAAAAAGGGCTTTATCCTCTCGAGAATTATGTGTAAGAGTATCTTACTGCAATGCGCAATTAGAGCAAATGTGCGATAGTTGCTACATAAATATTTCGCTCCCTTTTTATGTATGGGAATATATAGTGATTGTGTCCAGTCCTAAGGCCATTTACCTGTCTCCCACACTCTTTGACAAATTTGATGTATTATATCCACTCCAACGTCATCTAGGGCCCAAATCATTTCAATAGGTATGTTATCTGGACCTGCAGCTTCCTGACTTTTTTGCCTCATAATTGCTGCTTTAACTTCACTTTTGAGTACGTCAGATTCCGTCGCAAAACTGGCATCTTCTTGTTGTGATGGGGCGTCTGTGCTTTCCTCCATCATCAGTCGTCCACAATATTCTTTGCATCTGTGTAAAATATCTTTTTTAGAAGTGAGTAGAGTTCCGTTATCATCTTTAATAGCAAGGTAGTTTGGTGTAAAGAAACATGTTATTTGCTTTATTTTTTTACACATGTCTCTGGTCTCAGTTTTGGATTTATGCCCTTCTATTTCCATGCAGATTTTGTTCAAGTGTGTGTTCTTGTCCTTTTTGCAGAGTCGTTTTATTTGACCGCTCAGCACTTTATAGGCCTCTTTATCACTTTCACTGTTCAGTCCTGTGGCTTTTAAGCACTTTCTCTCCTAAGCATTATCAGCGTAAATAAATTGTCTTGCTTGTTGGTTTATGGGTTGATCGTTTGTATATTGTATAGAATCGGTATAAGGACTCTTTCCTGAGAAAGGCCAATTTTTTGTCCCTTCACTGATTGATCTTGGACTGGAGTGTAATATAGAAGAGTCTATTCTAAAGAAAGCATTCCACTAACCTTGCAAATCAGAAATAGTAGTTGTTACGCTTTGTGATTTCGTAGAGATTTTCTAACAGTTGTGGATGATTAACTGTGTCATAAGCGACAGTTAGATGAACAGACGCTACCCCTGCTATTTTATTTTACTCAAAGCTATCTGTAATATGTTGAGCGAGGTTAAGGGCACGGCTGCAGCAAAACTTTCCTGGCCTGAACCCTGGAATTCTTACTCTGGAATGAATTTGGTCTACACCAAATCAGTGACCAGATTCAGTATCAATCTTTTAAACGTCTTAAAAAACTTTGGTCTGTTCGTATTTTGTCTATGGGGATAAAATATTAAAAAACGATAATATCGAGGAAAGCTAGGAAAAACTCAAAAATAACATAATTAACGCAATAGCAGAATTACTTGGAGGGAGAAAAGTAACAAACACCAATATATCAACAAAGAAACTTATAGTTTAGAAGGAAAATAAAGACATAATATGAAGAAAAGAAGAAAGCTCTTTTACTATACATAACACAATAAACAGAAAAAAACTACATCCACTATAAAAGAATCAGAAATTAAACAAATAATTTAGTTAGATAAATAAAAAGGAAACACTGGTAAAACTTCACAAAGTAGATGGAACACGACTTCTGATTACGACAGATGATCAGAGGACAAAGAAAAAGAGATGAACGAACCAATTAAAACGTTTAGAAGGAAAAATGGGCAGACTACTTTCGATCTCTATTTGCTACCGATGACGATAATGAACGACCAACACTAGAGGTAACGACAAACGAAAAAATAAATATTGAGGAGGAGAAGGTAAAAGAAGCATTAAGAAAAAATAAAAAACAGAAAATCACCAAGAGAGGACAAAATACCGAAGGTACTCCTAAAATAAGTAGGACCAGATCTGACCAAATAACTACTGAAACTAATTCAAAAAATAATAGAACAAAACAGAATCCCTCAAGAATGGACATCAAGCATTCTAAAACCCATCTTTAAAAAAATAGATATATACGGAAAATGACAGAGGAATTCAATAACACTAAAATTAACATTGTTCTGAAGCTATTTTCTTGTGGCATTGTAAATTAATTACTATTAAACTGGGAATAAGCCACAATTAAAGATAAAAATACGTTTATTGACGTTTCAATTTCCACTTCGGAAATCAGAAATCGAGAACGATTTCCGAAGTGGAAATTGAAACGTCAATAAACGTATTTTTATCTTTAATTGTGGCTTATTCCCAGTTTAATAGTAATTAACTAAAATTAACAATGAAAGTGATAATAAATAAACTGAAAAAATTTATAATACTAGCAGACAACAACAAGGTTTTAGTTCAGGAAGATCATGCATCGACGCTATATTTATATTGAGGAAAATGTAAGACAGATCATTAGAATACAATAAACCGACTTATCTATGTTTCGTAGACTTTATAAAAACATCCACGTATTTTACGCAAAAGAGATACTTTTAGAATTAATTAAAACAACACAATAAAAGGAAAAGTAGAAGAAGAAGTAAGATTTCTTGAGTCGTCTATTGTTTAAGCTTATTAGTATATTAATAATAAAAAAAACTAAAAAAGAATACTAAATAGAAAAACAACTTAAATACACTGTGACAAAAGTAATAGGCAGTTTCCTGTAACCTATTATTGAGAAAAAGAATACTTGGTAATAAAATTCCTCGAGGAAACTAAGTTCCTGTAGCTGGCTGTATACCATACATCACAAAAAAATTTTGTTTAAAATCCTTTATAAAGTGTATATAAAAATGTATATAAAAGGTATGAAAAAACCAATTTTTAATGTTTCAAATATAGCTATTTGATTAATTTACAATACAGATTACAATATTGATGGTTGATACTGTTACATTATTATAATTTTAACCTTTTCAATTTTAAATAAGGCTGACATCTGTCATTTTTAGACAACTACCGTAAGTTATACTGACTGCTCTGACACAACATCCGTCCTAACATGTCAACAATGTCATTTTGATCAGTTGTTATCAACAGGTCTTCGTAGACACTTCGTCTCAGGACCATTTCACTCATGTAGAGTCATACGCCGCCATATTACCTATCCAACGGTAACTTAAACATCACAAATTATAATTACTAATAATGTAAAACAACTACAAATTTAAAACATTTAAAGGGTTTTGACCCATATATTTTGGTGGCTACTAGCATGTACAACCGTAAGTATTAACCACATTTTGCTCTAACCTTTATCAACATTTTAATTTAACGTTCTTTTTAATTAAAGTGGTTATATACTTTCAGGTTTGCACTGATGATGGATTGTTTAATCCGAAAACGTTTTGCAATGTGTTTGTGATAGCCCGTTTGGGGCATTTTTATATACCTTTTATAAAGGATTTTAAACAATTTTTTTTTTACTTGGTAATAGTGTTATTTATCCGAATACGTTATATAACGCCCATCTTTATCTCAAAGTGAGGATGATTTAAAACGTAGGCTGCACTAATTTAATATACCCGCCAGAAAATTGGTTATGTTAATTTTACCAAAAAACACATATTGCATGGTTGTAACAACAAATTTACTAAGATGTAAATTGGAGCTGAAAGGTCAGATAATAGAGCAAGTGATGAAGTTTAATTATCTAGGTATCACATTATCTAGTTACGGAAAGCTCGAAGCAGAAGTGGAAGATCAAGTGATTAGAGCAAACAGAGCCGCAGGTTGCTTGAATGAAACAATATGGAGAAATAAAAATATCGGAAAATAAATTAAATTCAGAATTTACAAAACAGTCATCAGAGATAACAAAAAGAATAGTAGAAACAGCAGAGATTAAAACGCTTATAAAAATTGATGGTAAAATACTATTAAACAGTAAAAAAATGAATAGTCCTGTAAGTTATGATTAATTGAAAAATCGGATATTATAATCAGATATAAGTTAATCAAATATACCTTCTAGTTGTTTCTTTTTAAATGTTAATTTGATAACGACTAAGAAATAAGAATTGGGGATTTTTACGTCAATACAGAGAATGTTTTGAAATTTACAACCTATTTTCACCAGAACATATTAAAAAATAAATAAAGACTTTCGACTAATATTCGTTATAATTATTTTATATTATTGGTTCTATTGTAAATCTTAAAATATACTGTGACGTATGGCAGACATTCCTGAACGCCACTGACCTTCCAAGTATGAAAAAAATTTCAAATGTTTCCCCTTAAGTACAAGAAGAGAAAATACTCGCTCAGGTACCGACAGCCGCACGAGTCGATCGGCGTCATAACCGTTGCCAACTTGCGCTCCACTGTTTCAGCCGGTTTTCAGGGTTTCAGTTTCAGTTTTCAGCGCTTCGAACAACCGCAGCGCCATCTACACATATAAAACTTGGGTCCGATCTCTCTCCTTGCTCCACTTCTGGTTAGTTCTTACTAGAAGGCAAGTTAGCAGTTAAACTAACACAATGGTAAGTAGATCGCATGTGACCGGACATTTTGTGAGAGTCTTTTAACTTAACACCTGCTAAAATGGAGTCGAATTTACCGAAAATTACTCTTGGTGAACCTGCTTATGTTAAGGCTTTTAAATACTGGAAGCAGAAGATTTACAAATCGAAAATAGTATTGCCTTTGATTTTATAAATATTAACACTTTCATATAAACATAAATTCTTATTTCAGATTTTTTTACTTTTTTGAAAGGATATTTTCGATTTTCTACATTAGGTATTTGGATTGCAATTTTTTGGAATGCAAATGTTATATGTTGTGAAGTGTCCCAGGGTTTTTATATGTGCTTTTTGTGATCGATAGTGCTGGACGATGTAGTTAAAAATTGTGAAAATTTACCAAAAAAACAGTGCAACGAGTGCATGGAAACCAACAAACTCCTGATAAGTACCTAAATAATCGTTGAATTTATTTTTTAAATAGTCTTTACTTAAAACTTGGAAAAATGATACTATAAACTTGATCGTAGATATTTTTAGAAAGCTAACACGTGAAGTTTGAATTTCCAAAAATAGTAAGCATTATTTTTATCATCTAACTAAATTTTGTTTTTGACAACTTATTCCGTGATGAGATGAGGGTTCATGTTATGTATTAAATGTCTTTTTTAATTCTAGTGTAGTATTTTCCAAAAACTTAGTTAAATTTATAACTTTCTCATTTGTTTACAAAACTTTAAGATCATGAAATGTTGATATTTTTTGGTTCTACTGTAATTATATTTCCTCAAATGCCCGCATAGACTTACGTATTCATATTATAATTATCATCTGTTTAGCTTTGCAAACCTTAAACGTGTATCATTCTCTTCTTTTCGGTTACTTTTTTTAAGTAGTTCTTATAACAAAAATAAATTGTGAAACATTATTTCATTATCATTATTTTCTTCGCAATTTATCTGTTACAGTTCGGTCTCACCCTTTTAATGATTTTATTCCATTTTTAACTTTTAATTTTATAATTAATTTAATTTAATTTTTAATTTAATGATTTTTTTAAATTTTATTCCAGTTTTAACTTACTAGCACGTGGTTTTTCAGTCTAAATGTCTTCCTTTTTTAAATCAATTTAAAGTGGATGACATAATTTACTCAGTTCACTAAAGCTTGCCTATCTTTTACAATGTTTTTTCTAATTATTGGAGAATGTAAAGTAGTGAATACCAGTTTAAAAGATATATGGTGACCTTAAATATACTGTTGAATACCATCTGTATAATTCAACGCCTTCCATATATCCTTACAATAATAATTACAGTATTAAATATTCCTAATCGGTAATATAATATCAATATTAATATTCATTTAATGATTGGGGTTTGGTGTTTTCTTTGATTATTTATGTCCATCTAGCTTGGGCTGTTTTAGTCATAGTTTATAATATCTTCGGTGCGCCTGAGACAATGCTTTTCGTCAATGCTTATTATCCATGTATCTTCACTATTCTGCTTTGTTGTTGCAGCCTTGAGAGCTTATTAAGTGATGATGATATCATTACTATAAATCTAGATTCAAGCTATGGAGCTCTAACTCCCCCTAAGCAGAAAAATTCAGTAATCCCATATGCTAGATATCTTCTTCTTAGAGTTTCATATCCCTACGGAACGTCGGCGACTACCATGCTTATAATATTCTTATAATGATCTCGGTCATGTGCTATGTGTAGCAATTGGTCCGCTGTCAAACCTGTCCACTGCCGCAAATTCCTCAACCAAGAGAGTTTCTTCCGTCCTATCCATTTCTTTCCTTCGATTTTACCGTTGAGAATTAGCCTAAGGAACTCATATCTTGGTCCTCTGATTATATGTCCAAGATATTCTAGTTTACGCCTCTTAATAATATTTAATAGAGTTCGTTGTTGTACCATTCTTCGAAGAATTTCTTTGTTTCTGGTTCTGCTAGTCCATGGAATTTTTAGTATTCTTCGAAACAACCACATCTCAAACGCCTCGATGCTAGATATGTAGAGTATTAAAAAAATTAGCTATCTTTAATTCTTTTCATGTTATCGAGCCCTTGGAGACCTGGTATGCTGGAGTATCTTCCGCCAATTTTCTGACGCATATAGAGCAATATGGTCTTGTAAAGATGTTCATTGACACCCAGCAATTAATTTAATGCTCTCACGTGGACATAATATGCTTGTTTGTTTCCTTTTTTTAAGCGATTAAACATCCTTTTATTTTTTTTAATATTATATAGGAAAACATGCATTTACATACCATTAACATCATATTAAATATCTTAGGTTATGTTTGGTTTACCCATTCTTAGTACAAATTGAACTGAATAAGTCTCTTTACATTTCTACATTTACCTGATTTTGTCATTTTTATTGATAGAAGGAACTTTGTACTAATTTGTACTAATACTCATACTCTAAATAAGTTCAAAAACTAATAAAAGGGAAAATCTTAGTGGTTGGCTGTGCAACATAGTTTGAACATATAAAAAATTTAAAAAGTATTTTCAATATTCTCCTTTTTTTAGTTGTTGTCTTTTAGTCGAGTCACTTAGACATTGATCCTCGTGCTTACTTGCAAAATGTGAAACCTCGCTTCTGACGCCATACATTTAAAGATCGCGACGAATATTTTTCATGTTTCTGAGTGAAATACTTACGTTCAGTTCTATTGTCTATTGTTCTAATGTCTAGTTATATTGCAATACTAGTATTATATTAAAGTCCAGTTAAGGGTTTGGTTAAATAAGCTTTGATCATTTCTTTTTTATACACACTACTAAGAGGTTCCGACCTTTTAAGATACTCCACGATGCCCTTATGCAGGTAGCGGTCATAGCCCAGTTGCTAGGTTCTAGCTTACCAAGCTGAAGAGCCCTGATTTAGATCCCGAAAGACAGCAGAATTTTTTTTAATTTCTAAGGTAAATAAGTCATCATCCTATTTCGGAGGCACGTAAAGCCATATGTCTCGGCTACGGAAGTAGTCGTTAATACTAAAACCTGAGCCAGAAGATAAATCGAATGGAAGATGAACAATACGCCAATTGGCTACACTACGATCGGTTATATCTACAAATGGCTTCCGAAAACATAATCTCTTTATTTCCTGCATAATGATCTCTCTTGGGTGATATATAGAAAACCTACAAGCATTGAATCCAGATTCCGTCTTCTATTTTTATCAGACGGCTAATCTTGTTGCCTTTTCGCTTTTGCATTTGGTGTAACCAAAGACCTGTCACCCTTTTACATGTACAAATACCAAAAAACCGGTGAAAATTACATTTTTCAGTTAAAATTTTCTAATTGATTACATAACAAACTAAAAATTTAATTTAATTTGGAAATACGATAAATACCTAGGCATACATTTTTTTACTACAATTTGAAGATAGGCCAAAATTTATTTTCAATTCTACTGCAGTGTTTTTGGCTCAAGAGTTATTTATAAAATGACAAAAATAGATCTACACTATTCAAAGCTAGCACAATGATGTCAAAAATAATGCCTCACCTCGATTTTAAAATACCGTGAATTTTAAAAGTCAAAGAAACTAGTTTATCTGCTAGTAGGAATATTAATTTTTTTCCTCTATAATATTTTATATTATTCTTTCATATTACTTTCATTTACAACAATTCTTTATGATTAAGGATAAAAACTAAGAACCGTAGAAGGAAAATGTTATGGATATTTAAAAATATGTCTATTTCGTAAATACCAGCAGAGATTTTTCCAATAAAATAATCAAAAGATTATTCCTAATAATTGTTTAGTTTGTGACAAAGTGACAATTTGTTTGGTTTTGTTTTCTAACTTTGTAATTTTGATTTCTAATTGAGATTTAGTAACATTGACTTTTTGGGGATCAATGATGTTTATATTAAACATTTTTTTTTGTTTTTTCAAATGCAGTTATTTCTTTATTCTCTATCTAGTTTATATTCAGACGTCACGCATAAGAAGCATTGAAAAAAACTGATACTATAAACATATATGTCATTGCAGTTTGTTGCAACCTTTCACGTAAACATATTATTGAAGTTATTGTCTACTGCATCTAATACATATTGCATCTCACGTTGTATTCTTATATCTTTGTTTCTTCTAGTTTTATCTCCTATGCTTTTTAACCTATTCTTTTCGGCCACTCTAATCAAACTTTTATCTTAATTAGTGTCTTTTTTTCTACTTCATATATTATAATAGAGCTAATACAAGTCTGGTATACTATCCTATCTTTACTGTTTATTCGGATGTGTCGGTTGTTCAAAATTGTCTTTTTGATACCTGCCAATTGCTACTTTGTTAATAATACTTTTGAGTTCTAAATTAAAAAGAAATAAACTTGGTGTGTTTCCTTGTCTAATTCGTCGTAACGTAGGGTAGATATATATTCTTAGTAGGTTTAGGTACCTACTTTATGTTTGTGGTGTTATTTATATTACAGCCATGTTTGTTTTTATAATACCAGGTTTTATCTCTTTTAATATATCTATTACATGGTGGAATGGTATTCTGCCGAATGTCTTGGTTCGATATATGAAGCTCATATAAACAGATGCAAGTGTGTTGTATAAATTGTTTTTTATTTGTATTATTGTACACAGTACGTCATCTGTTGTAGTCTGCCTTTTCTGAAAATCCTTTTTGCTCTTCCTTGATGTTATTATTATCTTAATTATTCAAGTTTGGTTTTCAATATTGTGAGTCAAAAAAATGTTTGTTTAATTCTAAAAAGGAATATTTTGCAATTATTATATTCTCTTTATTAAATTACAAAATTCAAAGTCAAAATGACACTTTTAAAAATGAAAAATAACAAATCCCTTGGCGATAACAGAGTAGAGATCAAGGAGATCAAACTATGTGGAAATAAAATTATCCCAGCTATGCTCAAACTTTTCACCGAATGCATCTACCAAGGAAAAACTACTTATCGAGGAAACAGTGCAGTTATTGTTTGATCACACAACAAAAGTGACATAAAAAATTTAAAAAACTGCTGTTCTGTCAGTTTACTATCATACATATATAAACTTTTTACAGAAGTGATCAAAAAAGACTGGAGGCTTAGTTAGACTTCTATCAGCCTAAAAAACAACCTGAAATTAGATCGGCATACAGCACCAATGATCACTTTCTAG